CGCGCGGCGACGGCGGGCGTGATCGTGGCGGACCACGCGGGCCGACCGCGACAGCTTCTTTTGAGACCTCTGCGCGTCGTCGTCCTCGCGTTTTCTCCTGACGAGGTGGCGCCCTGCCCCCTCCATGTCCCCGGCGCGTTTGGGCAGGCTTCGGTTCTCGTCCTGTCCGGCTCTGCTCGGGAGAGGATCGTAGTGGTAGGTCACGATGCGAACCCAGCGGACCGTTAGGCGACCCCGGCCTGGCGGCCTCCGCACCCGCTTCCGCCGGCGCGGGCCGCCTGGCGGCGGTCTTCTCGACGGGCTGGCGGCACCGTGTTTTCGTTCGTCTGTCCGGCCGCCGCCCGGTCGGCTCGAGCGGCTATTGGCGTGTTCTCGTGCTGGTGCTCCACCGGCGCTTTTGTGCCAGACGCATCTTCGCTTCGTGCGTTCGCTTTTTGGCGCCGCGTCCTCCGGCCCCGCCGCCCGCCGCGCGCTTCCTCCCACGCCGTCCGTCCCCGCGCATTCCCCCGCGGCAGCTCCGTCTTCGCCTCTAGCCTATAGTGTCTGCTCTGATCTGGCTCTCTGTTCTTGCTCTCTTCGAGTTTCGGTTCACTCGCCATTGGCGACGACCTGTCGACGGCGCCGGATCGTCATGACGGGCCTTCGTCTGCTTTTTTTTTTTCATCTGAAACGCCCGTGACGACGGAGTTTGTAATGTGTAAGCTCTGATCTATGTATGAAATCGAACATTTAATAAATGTAATGAACCTAGTTTTTCGACGGCCGCTTCTTGGCGGGCTTGGCAGTGGCACACAAACAAACAAACATTTTATTTTATTATGTTTTTTTCACCTGTCAGCTTTAAGGGTATTACTGATTACTTCAGCATAAAAAATCACTATGAGTTTGTGCTGTTATGTGATCAAAAACAGTAAATAAACAGCAAACTTGAGCCTGCATGCTTGATTCGCGATAATAAAATATGAAAAAACGCTTCCACAAAACAAGTGCATGTAGTTGCGTGAAATTTTTGAAAAACCTGCGTAACCCTTAGAACATTTTGGGCGGGAAAAAGTGGGATACGTACACAACACAGAATTTATGGGTACAGGGGACAAACAGGAGGACCAGTCAGTGGTTTACAAAGGTGCATACCAGCCAATTTTCAGGGGTACCACGGCAAATAAAAAGAGCCACCACGGCACACGCCATAGAAATTCGATTCCACCAACCCTCGGGCTCTGACCTACGGCTACGAGGGGTCTTATCTATCTTATATTATTTTTCATTTTGTTGTGTCCTCGATTGCGACAAGCCTTACAATCATATTTCTTGCTTTCTGATTTAATGAACATAGAAATATAGTAATTGCTGTAATTAAGTACATTTAATCAAATAAACTTCCTAGCCCCAGCTTCATCTTACTTCTGCTAATTTTTCATACAGTTTCACTAACAGTTCAAATTATAGCATTATTATATTATTTAAAGAAGCACAATTAATTTATTTTAATAATATTATATATATTCGTGTTAGAAACATGATAAAAATTGCTCTAAAAAGTCTGCTTGTCATTTCTTGTATTTTGACAGAGTTCTTACTTGTGCCTCCCATGGAAATGCGACAAGTGAGGACCAGAAGCGATAGCCCTTTTGACCTGCGTCTTTATACCCACGAGGTCGCCCGACGTCCACCAGCCACAGATCGCCTGCTCTTGCTCTGCGGACGGAGTCGTCCCTGCCCCATCAGCGTCGGTATTTTATTTTGCGCCCGCCGCGGCGGTTCCGCCGCCGTTGTCGGCGGCTCCCTTCGGCCGCACGCCGATGAAGCCGCTGCAGCGCGGGGCGCCGCAGAGGCACGGTCGCTTCTCGTTGCCGAGGCAGTCGAGGTTGTAGTTGAAGGTGAGCTCCTCGCCGGCGGCGACGTCGCGCAGGGCGAAGAGGCCGACGCGCACGTCGCCGTTCACCGTCCACTTCTGCGTTTCGCAGTTCGGCGCGCAGTCGTGGTTCATGAAGCGCGTCAGGTTGCCCTTGGGGCCGGCGTCGATCACGCGGTCCTTGTCGATCGTGAGCATGTAGAAGTCGCCGACGTTGTCCTCGTGCGAGCGCCGCAGCCTCCGCCGGCACTCCTCATCGTCGATGAGGTCACCGACATACTCGCCGACGAACTGACCCTTGCGGACGGGTTCGAGCGCGCGCAGGCCCCAGCCGCGCGCGCCCACCTTCGTCGGCGCGCACGCGGCGTACTGCATCTTGACGAAGCGCTGGTTCTCGCACCGCTCGCCCGCGGGGCACACCGCCGGGTGGCACTCGTAGTACATCATCGCGTTGAGGCAGTCGCCGTCGTAGCCGCACGGGTGCGCCGCCGTCGGCGCGCACTCGCACGGCGTCAGCTCCGCGGGGTCGCGCGTGTAGATCTGCACCTTGCCGACGGGCCGGTTCGTCTTGATGTGCTTGTACGGCGCCGGCTTGCGGCCGCTGCGCTCGCTCTCCTGCGCCACGCGGCTCTCGCGCGACGCCTGCCACGCCTTGAACGCGTCCGTCGCCTCGACGACGGCGCGATGAAACTGCTTGGCGAGGTGCGCCGAGCTCGTGCGGTCCTTCGAGCCCTTGTCGCCCTCGTCGAAGTAAAACACGCGGCCCTTGTGCAGCCAGTAGTAGTCGTGCGAGCCGAAGAAGCAGACGGGGAACTCCCCGATGCCGTGCGGCAGGTCGAACACGTTGTCGGGGACGGCGCGCGGCGGGCAGATGCGCGCCGGCCACCAGCGGTAGCAGCCGAGCTTCACCCAGACGATGTCGCCGAACAGCGGCTGCCGGCCCGCCGTGCAGTCCTCGCAGTACCACGCGCCGTCCGGCGGCTGAGCGACGCCGACGCAGCCCGCGTGGAACGCCGTCGGACACGACTCGCAGCAGAGCAGCGCGCCGCCACGGCCACACACGAAGCACCAGTTGACGTTGACGTTGGCGTGCTGCGCGCGCCGCGCCTTCGCCGGCCGGAAGTGCCGCGGGCAGACGATCGAGGCGGCGGTGAGCGCGGTGGCGCCGGCGGGAACGCACGCGTCGCCGGAGTGGTACGCGGCGGGGCAGCGCACGCAGCGCTGCATGCGGCCCTTGGCGGCGCGCGCGCTCCGCGGGTCGTCCGCGTGGCACGTGAGGCACGTGTGCCGCGGGCAGTACCGCCGCGCCTGCGCTCCGGCGCCGCCGCGCCCGCCCGGGAACGCCGCGAGGCACGCGTCGTGGTAGTGCTTCCCGCACTGCGCCGCGCCGCATTTCTTCACCTCGCCCGCCGACTCCTTGCAGACGAAGCACGGGTGCACGCCCGACGCGCACTCCTTGCAGAGGAAGGGGGCGGCGGCGGCGGGGGCAGCAGCGGCGGCGGTCGCCGCGGCAGGGACGCATTCGCGGTGGAACGCGTTGTGGCAGCCGCCGTCGCACGACAGCAGATCGGCACCGACGCCCTCGCACGCCGCGCACACGGCGTCGCGAGGCCGCGCCGCCCGCGCGACCTCCGACCCCGACGAGCTGCTGGATCGCGACGAAGACGACGACGAGGCGGCGGCGTGGTCATCGGAGTCGGAGGAGCGCGCCGGCGACGCGCCGCCATTGCTCTCTTCCCGCAGCGCCGCAAGACGACCCTCGCTCTTCGCCGCCGCCTTCTGCTTCCGGCCCCACTTTGCCTCTTGGTGTTCAGCCGGCGGCATCGCGCATGCGGCACCCCCTGGCATCGCGCCGCGGCCGGACTTGGGCGATCGGCTGAGGCTCAGCTGCAGCTTGAGGCCCTTGCGTTTCTTCTTGAGAATGACGACCGTCTCCTCTCCGCTCGAGTCGGTCTTCTCGCCGATCTCCCGATCCCCGCCGACATCCTTGCTGACCTCCTGACCCCTGCCGACATCCTTGCTGACCTCCTGACCCCTGCCGACATCCTTGCTGACCTCCTGACCTCCACTGACCTTCTGNGAAATTGGAGGTAGAGGAGGTAGAGGAGGATGGGAAGAAGGGAGAGGAGGAGGAGAAGGTGGAGGGCGGAGGTAGAGGAGGGGAAGAAGGTAGATGAGGAGAAGGTGTAGGGAGGAGGTAGAGGAGGAAGGGGAGAAGGTAGCGGAGGAAGGGGAGAAGGTGGAGGAAGAGGAGGAAAATGTGGAGGAGGAGGGGAGAAGGTGGAGGAGGAGAAGAGGGAGGTGGAGGATGAGGAGAAGGTGGAGAGAGGGGGTAGAGGAGCATGGGGAGAAAGTGGAAAAGGAGAAGGTGGAGGGAGGAGGTAGAGGAGGCGGAGGAAGAGAAGGTGGAAGGAGGAGGGGGAGGTGGAGAAGGTGGAGGAGCAGAAGGTGGAGGGAGGAGGTAGAGGAGGGCGAGGTGGATGAGGAGAAGGTGGAGGGAGGAGGTAGAGAAAGATGGGGAGAAGGGAGAAGAAGAGGAGAAGGTGGAGGAGGTACATAGTGTTGGAACATAGAGCACTCACCGTGCGATAGTGAGCGGGGTGTATTTTAGGATGTGTGAATCGCATTATGAGAGTCACTATATTATTTAATTTTCTGCCGATATATAATTACCAGAGAAAGTCACCTTAACTATCGGACTCGTATGGACGTTGTCGAGCTACTTGCCGAAAATAAAACCACCAGCTAAAGGCGTCGATGCTTATGATACATTTATTGTACCTTTCTACTTGTCATATAAATCTATAACTAAATAACCTATAATATATTCCTATAATTAAATGCATTATAAATTTTAATAAAGGTACTTACAGTCTGCATCGCACGAGGCATCTTGTGTGGAAACGTACACTGGGAGGAGGTAGAGGAAGGGGAGGAGGTGGAGAAGGGGGAGGAGAAGGAGAAGGAGAAGGTGGAGGTAGAGAAGGAAGGGAGAAGGTGGATGACGAAAAGGTAAAGGGAGGAGGTAGAGAAGCATGGGGAGAAAGTGGAGGAGAAGAAGGTGGAGGAGGAGAAGGTAGAAGGAGGAGGTGGAGGAGGAGAAGGTGGAGGGAGTAGGGAGAAGTGGAGAAGGTGGAGGAGGAAAAGGTGGAGGGAGGAGGTAGAGGAGCATGGGGAGAAAGTGGAGGAAAAAAAGGTGGAGGGAGGAGGTAGAGGGAGGAGATAGAGCAGAAGGTGGACGGAGGAGGTAGATGAGACGGTGGATGAGGAGAAGGTGGAGGGAGGAGGTAGAGAAGAAGGAGGGGGTGGAGAAGGAGAAGGTAGAGGGAGGAGGTAGAGCAGAACGTGGAGAGAGGAGGTAGATGAGACGGTGGATGAGGAAAAGGTGGAGGGAAGAGGTAGAGGAGGGGGAGGTGGAAGAGGAAAAGGTAGAGGGAGGAGGTAGAGAAGGAGGGGGAGGTAGAAGAGGAGAAGGTGGACAGAACAGGTAGAGGAGGAGGGGAGAAGGTGGAGGAGGAGGGGGAGAAGGTGGAGGAAGAGAGGGAGAAGGTGGAGGAGGAGGGGAGAAGGTGGAAGAGGAGGAGGGGGAGGTGGAAGATAAGGAGAAGGTGGAGAGAAGTAGTAGAGGAGCATAGGGAGAAAGTGGAGGAGGAGAAGGTGGAGGGAGGAGGTAGAGGAGGTGGAGGAGGAGAGTAAGTAAGTAAGTAAGTAAGTAAAACCTTATTTAACGACGGTAAAACATGTTAGGTACAGACACAATAAATTGGTGCGGACCTATCTTCCACATGGCCGTCTCACAGCAACAGAACGGTTAAATATTAAATAAATACACAATATGTTGAAATACTTGACTAAAATTTGTACGGGGTAAGTATAGAGCACAATGGGCCCTATTGATAGGGCAAGATTTTCTTTAGACCGACGGACTTTAAAAGAAGAAATGGTGGGGGCATCTCGAACGTCAGGAGGTAAATTATTCCATTCAGATGCCGCCGCGCACCGAAAAGATTTTCGTAGCATTTCAGTGCGTGCACGGGGCGGATACAAACGCGCTTCATCTGCACACACACTACGCGTCCGTCTAGAGCTCACTTCATGTTTAAAAGTAAAAAATAAAAAAAAACGTCAAGATAGGCAGGTGCCTGCTTACGTAAAATTGTGTAAGTTAAAAGAGATCGATGGTAGGCGAACAGTCATAAAACCTAGCTGCGAAAAGATTTCTTTAGTGCGGGCGTCTGAAGGTCTACGAATGTTAAGAATTAACCGCGCAAAACGTTTCTGCAGGTTAAAAACTTTGTCAATATAACTCTTCGCGGCATTTCCCCACACAACAATACCATAATCAATATCAGGTAAAACAAAGCCAAAGTAAAACTTCAGGCAGGAATCATGATCGAGAAATTTCCTGATCCGCCAAAACAGTACCAGCTTTTTTGAGATCTTGGCACACACATTCATTATGTGTTCTTCAAACGTGGAAGGTGGAAGAAGGAGGGGGAGGTGGAGAAGGTGGAAGAGGAGAAGGTAGAGGGAGGAGGTAGAGGAGCATGGGGAGAAAGTGGAGGAGAAAAGGGTAGAGGGAGGAGGAGAAGGTGGATGGAGGAGGTAGAGGAGGATGGGGAGAAGGGAGAAGAGGAGGAGAAGGTGGAAGGAGGAGGTAGAGGAGGAAGGAAAAGGTGGATGAGGAGAAGGTGGAGGGATGAGGTAGAGGAGGAGGGGGAGAAGGTGAAAGAAGAGGAGGAGGGGGAGGGGGACGATGAGGATAAGGTGGAGGGATGAGGTAGAGGAGGAGGTGGAGAAGGTAGAGGAGGAGGAGAGAGAGAAGGTAGAACATAGTCGGAACATAGGGTTGTCGGAACATAGAGCACTCACCTTGCGATAGTGAGCGGGGTGTATTTTGGGATGTGCGAATCGCATTATGAGAGTCACTATATTATTTAACTTTCTGCCGATATATAATTACCAGAGAAAGTCACCTTAACTATCGGACTCGTATGAACGTTGTCGAGCTACTTGCCGGAAATAAAACCACCAGCTAAAGGCGTCGATGCTTATGATACATTTATTGTACCTTTCTACTTGTCATATAAATTTACAACTAAATAACCTATAATATATTCTATAATTAAATGCATTATAAATTTTAATAAAAGTACTTACAGTCTGCATCATACGAGGCATCTTTTGTGGAAACGTACACTGGGAGGAGGTAGAGGAAAAGGGGGAGGTGGAGAAGGTGGAGGAAGAGGAGAAGGTAGAGGTAGAGGAGGAAGGAAGAAGGTGGATGACGAGAAGGTAGAGGGAGGAGGTAGAGAAGGAGGGGGAGGTGGAGGAGGATTAGAAGGTGGAGGGAAAAGGTAGAGGAGGATGGTGAGAAGGGAGAGGAGGAGAAGGTGGAGGGAGATAGAAGAGGGGGAGAAGGTGGAGGGGGAGGGGGAGAATGTGGATGAGGAGAAGGTGGAGGGAGGAGGTAGAGGAGGAGGGGGAGAAGGTGGATGAGGAGGCGAGAAGGTGGAGGAGGAGGAGGGGGAAATGGAGGATGAGGAGAAGGTGGAGAGAGGAGGTAGAGGATCATGGGAGAAAGTGGAGGATGAGATGGTGGAAGGAAGAGGTAGAGGAGGTGGAGGAGGAGAAATTGGTGGGAGGAGGGGTAGGTGGAGAAGGTGGAGGAGGAGAAGGTGGATGGATGAGGTAGAGGAGGTGGAGGAGGAGAAATTGGTGGGAGGAGGGGTAGGTGGAGAAGGTGGAGGAGGAGAAGGTGGAGGGATGAGGTAGAGGAGCATTGTCAGAAAGTGGAAGAGAAGAACGTGGAGGGAGGAGGTAGAGGAGGTGGAGGAGGAGAAATTGGTGGGAGGAGGGGTAGGTGGAGAAGGTGGAGGAGGAGAAGGTGGAGGGATGAGGTAGAGGAGGTGGAGGAGGAGAAATTGGTGGGAGGAGGGGTAGGTGGAGAAGGTGGAGGAGGAGAAGGTGGAGGGATGAGGTAGAGGAGCATTGTCAGAAAGTGGAAGAGAAGAACGTGGAGGGAGGAGGTAGAGGAGAAAGTGGAAGAGGAGAAGGTAGAGGGAGGAGGTAGAGGAGAAGGTGGAGGGAGGAGGTAGAGGAGGAGGGGAGAAGGCAGAGGAGGAGGGGAGAAGGTGGAGAAAAAGAGGGAGAAGGTGGAGGAGGAGGCGAGGTGGAGGAGGAGGAGGGGGAAGTGGAGGATGAGGAGAGGTGGAGAGAGGAGGCAGAGGATCATGGAGAGA